GGCATAAAAAAATGACAAGGTTTCTGCTTAAACATAGACACCTGTCAGCCTCCTAGCTGAGAAAGATCAGTTTCTCTTGCTATCGAGTTACTTTGATTCACAATTAAATCATTGTTATTGAAAGAACAACAAAGTTTGCAAAATGTTCTATTTTGTTTTATTTTTGGCCCTTTTTGTCTAGCATTTAAACATGTTTTCAATTTCATTCTCAGTTCAATCTTAGTGGATTTTATTTGAGAAAAGAAAAAGTCATTCTGATGCATTCTTTTTTTCTCTCTGCTCCTTGTTCAATTAAATGAAGGAATATTGAATCATTTGCAAACTACATGCGACTGAGTACGAGACAAAGCTGTTTGGCTTGTGTGCTCATCCTGTTGTTTAATGATCCAACCTCAGACACTTCTGGAAAGTGTCAGTTGACTCAGCATCAATTAAAGAACTGAAGTCAGTGATGGCACTATTGTGAAGCACCCCAGTCTGGAAATCTTTGTCTCCAAAGATTGTTTAAACATCATTATTCCAGTATTCCAAGTGTTCTAAGGAATACATGATAATTTGAATTGTGAAATAACTGACATACCCTGAGGAAAAAAGGCTACGGTCCCCTGATGCCTATGAGGTATTGTTTCTCTCTCTCCCTTTCAGGACAGACTGATGATAAACTGCCGTCTTCTCAAGAACAGACTGAAACAATTTCTATAAGTTTAACATAATAGAATCAAAGAAAAACTGAGGATGTCTGTACCTAAAGAGCACATCCAGACCCTTATCACAAATTAATCTGAAAGACACTTTTCCTAATTATATCAATATTAAAACATTAAAAGCAACACACCACCATGAAAAAACAGTAGTGAAAAATAATAAAAAACAGATTGCTTTATACTGTACAGTGTTATTGTTTTTTTCATGAGGTCTGTGATGAGTAAAATCTACCTGAATTAAAGCAGCTTTTTTATTAAACCCGCGCCCTTCTGTCACAGCAACAGCTTTATTAATGTTTTTGCAATTTCACTGTCAAAGTTAAACAGTGCCGTGAAAGGGTCATCTGACAGCATTGGGCAATGCTGTTGTGTCCTTCTAAAGGATTACGTTCACACCATTCAACTCCTATCAGATGACACCTTAACTGGAAGTCTTAATGAAAGCTTGAGAGAGCAGACAAACCCTTAACCTAACTTCATTATAGGTAAATACAGGCAATGCCCTCACCTATCCCAGAGTTCACTGCTTTGCATCCCTGTCTCCCTCCATCTTTGCTCTTGTGCCAGTTCATTGCCTCCTTTCACCAAGTGGAGGTGGGTGCGTGAGTGTTTGGGAAGGACGCATCGTTCCCTTAGCCATATCTTCATGTCCAAACAGAAACCTTCCAACATTGTTTGTAATTATCTCTTACTAATTCGCCAACCATAATGTTTGTCTGAAGATTTTAAGAATAAATGCATAAATGTATCTTTCTCCTTAGAAGTGTGTCATACACTCATCACATAAGACTTTTAATGTAGAGATATTTAATGACCGGGAAAGGATACAAATATTTCCAATACTAGTATTGCTTGCATCAACTGTTGATTTAAAAAATGCACTTCATTAGAAGATTAAGGTTAAAAATGTCAGATTCTTTTTTTTATTTTATGCAACTTTACCTTTTCATTTTTTACCCCTTCCTGCCTTTGCCTATTTTAACCAATTCTGCGAGAAAAGCCTTAAAGAAACGGGACCTTCAGTAAGACTAGAATGAGATCTTTTTGTATATACTCTACTTGTGAGGTGCAATGTATGGGTCCCAATTCAGAAATGAACTTAAAAACATTTTTAAATGCAACAAGAGCAACTTCATGAAGATTTATTAATCATGTTTTTCCACAACTGGAGCACCCAACCAAGGTTCAATTAAAAGGAAAAATATATGAAAAGAGATTAAATGGTATAGGAAGACTGCTGAATCAGACATCCACAACCTATTTGTGTCCATCCCCTGTTGAAATGTAGCTCAAAGTCTAAACTCCTCGCTGAGCAAGCACAGTCAGTCACAGCAGGATGCCTTACGTATGTATTGATTGACAGTCCTCTCTTACCTTAGAAAAACATCATAATTAACTGATCTGCACAAATGACTGTGATTTTAAAATATGATACTGTATCCAGGAGATGCTAGCATTAATTACTGAAAAAAGTAAGTGCAGTTGTATTGCCATTATTAGCAAATGTCTTGCTAAAACCAGGAAAATAAAGAAATGTAACTGCATTAATCAGAATTACATAAAGTAATTGAAAATAATCCTAATGTGGTACAGTATCTTTATACTGTACTTTTCATATTGCATCTCCCATGTTAAACAAGCCGTGACTAAAGTATGATGAATGACTGACTTAATTTTGCTATTGGATTTCAGCTAACACAAGTCACAAAGTTCTTAAATGGATTTGACACAGCTCACAATGCACACTGGAGCTACAGTATGACAAACACGCTGCTGCAAACATCTTCCTGGTAAAAAGAAAAAAAAATGCAATTTAAATTTTCTGATGCTATTACCAGAGTAACTAACCAAGCTCAGCCTGTGGGCTGCTCAGAGACAGTAGAATTGGCACCAGAAATGGCTTCCAAACCAAACTGCTGGGGTCAACTTAACTGTTGAGTGATCAATAGCAAGATGCTAGTAAAACATTACACATTCCTGTACCAGAAACGGAGAATTTGGAATGGGGAGTGCCTACCTCGAATGTCACGGTGAAGTAGTGGTTAGTATCGCTGAACGCAGCTCTGGGGCCCTGGCTCAGTTCTGGACAGGGAGGCTATCCGTGTGGAGTTTGTATGTTATCCCTGTGCTTGCATGAGTTTCCTCCGGGTGATGTGGTTTCCTCCTCCAGTTCACAGAACTACTGGTAGGTTAATTGGCTTCTGGGAAAATTGGCCCTGGTGTGGGTGTGTGTTTGTGTCTTCTTGTGCCCTGTGATGGACTGACATCTGGTTCAGGGTCCGCCTTGAGCCTGTTGCTTGCTGGGATAGGCTCCTGCTTCCTGGCCACCCTGAATTGGATGAAGTGGGTAGAAAATGGGTTGGAATGAACGCCTGCTTTAGCCCAGTTCATTAGTGACGTGGGTTCTAAAAATATTTGTTTTGCTGCTGATGGTGAGACTCGTAATTTCAGGTTATTAGCAAGAAGAGGAAATCTGCTATTGTTTATAATCTAGAGAGAATCATCTCTAAGAGACAGCTGAATTAACAGGTTTATTAGAACAGACTGCCTAAATCCTCTGCATTTGCAAGGATGCATAAGGGATTCTCCCTCCCTGTGTGCTAGAGTCAAAGACACATTTGTTTATTCAAGCTTTTACTTTTGCTTCTTCTTTAGGCAAGAAAAATGGTATTTTTTTCAGAAAGTGTCTTGGGATTCTATGCCCTGATTAGGCGATAGGAGCTGCTGACTGGCATGTGAAGAATGGAGTAAAATAATTTTATTGGTTTAAAAAAAGTCAAACAGTTCCATTGCCATATGGCCACAGGAGCTCTAGCAATGTCAGTGGGCTCGGGATCTCTGGACCAGCTAATGCTGAAGAAGCAGTTGGAGAGTGAGCTGGGTGTGAGTGAATAAGAATGTCTTATAGACTTCAGGCAGGATTAGGAGTTAGTCCTGCTAGTCAGGAAACTTTAGTGTCTCTAAATTACCCCTTTATGCTCATGTCACAATGTAGCTCTCCTTGTGCTACTGTATGTACCTCTGGACTACGGGGCATATAAATCAGACCAGGAATGAGTGGCATCTGACTAAGGATTTCAGGTTTTCCCATTGAAAATAATGACAGGGACTTCTGTGGATATGTCTGAGGTAATGAAAACAATAGACACAAATAGTAATTATTAAACAATAGACAACTATTACTACTACTACTACTACTACTACTACTACTACTACTACTACTA